ACATGTAATAGCATTCTAGACTAGGACTTTTATGGTAACACCTCTAGTCTACTCCTACATCCCTTCCTCCCCTACCTTTGTGTTGCTTATTTTTCTGGCTATTAACACTGGGATGATGTGTCATTTTAACGTTTAAAGATTTTTAAAAATCCGTATAAGAGATTGTAATCTACCTTCTCAAGGTATATTCCGCCTCCTTTGCTGGACTATGAACACAGCAAATTAGTCCCATTTGGGCAATCTTTTTTGACTTAACCGGATGACTGCGAAGGTTACTCCCTTTCTTAATGGGCCATGCGCGACCATTGGCTTTATTTTGGTGCTTTTGTCCAGCCTTGTACACTATTCATGGACGTAAGGACTCCTGTTCCGTCGTCAAGTTCACGATAATAAAAGTACACGAAAAAGATCGTGACTATCTATAAAATCAGCAGTTTAGACGTCCTGTTTCGAGTTAATCTTCACCGAACTGCTGGGAGGTTTCACTTGAGTATATGCCCTTGTGACATTGATCCATCACGGTGGGCTGCCATCCTTGGAGTGACTCTTCGCCCAATGTAGTTACAAAATATCTTGATGTTTCGTAACCCGCTACTATACTTGGGGTTCTTGAAATCTAGATGAAACATTAAGTAGGCTACCAACTTCAACGAAATCAACACAAAACAAGTATCATCATATCGCGATGGTTGCCTTGCTGAGAGATATAGTGATCAGGGTGGCGCTGACCAAGGAGAGTTCTAAAGTAGCTTTACGCTCGACTGGATAATTGCTCTTGGTAATGGTAAAAACTCGAGCAGGCGACAGACTTTAGGAAGGTTTTATCTTACCTTTGACATTAGAACCACGGGTTTCGTGCTAAACGAATCGAGCTATAGGAAGTATTTAATATTATGTGAAATCGTCTGTTGCAATGAATTTATTAGTACTTTGTCACTTGGCTAAATAACATTTGAAGAAGAATTGCTCCTGTCATATTCTAAGGTATTTCCCTCGGATAGATTAGTGACTTGTTTCATCGATCCCGTCGAGCATGGAGGGTGTGTTGTCCTTAAACCAAGTGAGGCGAAAATGTGGACTGCAGTGAATAGTTGCGGACGAAAGCTTCGGTCAACCTCTATTCAAATCATGTGATGCGTAAACAATACTCTGCACTCGTCGCGATGCCTATTACACTACCCTTTAAAATTGTGTCTATGTTTAAATTTTTTCTTAAAAATTCTATAACGCTTTAATTAATAATGGTTTATATTGATCCCTTATATATATATATGTTGAAATTGAGATAATTTAATGTAGTTTGTATTAGAGGAATTGCTTTCTGACTTAAAGCCTTTACCGCTTTTTAAGGTTTAGTAATGACTCAAACGATTTTGCATGTGGCTCCCCTTCATTAAATTGTTTCAATTTTTATACGAAATTTTTATGATCACTCCATCTTAAGGAATTTTTTTTAAGCGTTTGGGTTACTATAAAGGATAGCTTATTTAGAGACCTTAATTTAATAATGCGTAAACTTTCAAACGATAATTAAAATGATGTAAATGTCTTTTAGATCAAGGCGAGTCTTATACTTAGGTTTCTCGTGAATGTGTCAGTAAGGCCACAATATCTCGTCAAAGCTCAAAATAATCCGAATCGTCCTTGCAAGAACCTGGGCTTCCAAAAATCTTGAAAAACCGAGATGTAGCTCGACTTGTACGTCCAGCACCGTAGTGTACAAAAATCATAGAAACAACATTAGATATACCAATTTCAAGTTCGACCGTCTTGAGAGCATTGCATTCCGCCGGGTTTAATGCGAAGAATAAGTTAATTAAACCCACTCTGAAAGATCGTCACTAGTGACTAAGATTTGAGTTGTGAAGAAGTACGAAAATTGGTCCGTTTCGGACTGGGAAAAAAGTAATTATTCTTTCCATGATCTAACACCAGAAGGGACAATAATTCCTTGGAACCTGAAAATCACTATTGGTTTAGGGCTCAAGTTTTGTCCCACACCCCCTTCTTTAGCCATGAAAGATTATGGAGAAGCTTTTGACAAAACTGCTAGAGGAATCATCTTAGCATTCCACTTTGAGGATTTTTCTGGTAAATATTTCGGACGAGACCAATACCCATCGATATGGTTCGATGGTATCAGGTGGCGCTGGAAGCGATCCGGGGATAATCGAATACTTGATCCCCAAGTGGTGCAAATGTAAAAACGTGGGAGAGGGTGGATTATGATATGGTTCCTGTATAACATCTGTGGGGTTCGGATATTTGGAAAAAGTGGCAGGGAGCGTCTCCGCAAGCACGTATTTAGACATTATTAAGAATGACCCCTCAGAACATGCGATTGGTATGGTCTTGATCTTGATGAAATGGTCTTCCAGCAGTATAATGCCTCCTGTCACACTGCACTATCGGTGCGATCATGGCGCCAATTACAGTCGTCCCAACTGCTAGACTGGCATCCGCAATCTCCTGATCTCATCCCGTTGAGTATGCATATGGGGAATCTAAAAGAGAAAATTGGGACCATATGAATCAACTCCTGCTAACTTGTACGAGCTTTGAACACGTGTACAAACAGTATGGAAATGTATAATACCGGGTCAAAGATTACAATCTGATTGCCAGTGTACCAAAGAGGATACAGGCAGTGATTCTGGCAAAAGATAGTTATACCAATTATTAAAACCACCTCGTTTAATATTAAATAGTTTTCTACGTGCAAAATTGTTTCTATAATCTTTCAACTTTACAAGCTCGTAGTCCTTTCGAATATTAAACCAATTTAAGATCAAGTATTAACAAAATGTAGCTAGAACATGAGAGTTTACAGTATATAAATTTCAAATTAATCCATCACGTTATTGAAAAGTTATTCTGCATTAAATGAGAAAATGCAAAACATTGAAACAATTTTGCTCGATAGTTAGATATTAATGATGTATTAACTTGATTAAATGTGTTTTATCTGATAGTACATACTTTTCATATAAAACAGTAGTATACAGTACTAGTACTGTGCTATTATGCTAGTAATATTGTGCTATGCACTAGTTAGGAGTGCCCTTTTGTGGACTAAAGTCGTCGAAAGTTAATAGTATACCTGCTAGTATATAGTGCGGTGCTGGTGTAGAAGTATAGTAATAGTACTGCATAAAGAGTGTTATTTACTAGTATATATAGATACGAGGTGCACACCTCCAAAGGATCAATTGTTTCGCTCTTTAGGAATGTAAAATAATGGCGTCTTACCATCATAACAAATTTCGTCGTTCATTTAAAAAGGTAATTTTGCACGTTGTTGGCCTGCATAATCGTAATAAATCTTTTTTTAAGTAGAATAATAAAATTGCTTAATTAATTTGTTCTTCGTTGCTTATTCTACATATTTGTGTAAATAAAAAGCTGCTCATTCATAAGATTGCACTATAATAGTTTCTGAATTGGATTAACTAGATGAGACATTAAACGCGTATTGTTAAACTTCTATGCAATAGAGTTAATTTTACCGTGTAATTAATTCGTTTTTCGCTTAGTAAAATAGTATAAGTTAAGTAGGTCTTCATATTATAAGAGTATTTTAGGCGTAACTATTAACAATAATCTATTTTCTATACCAGTTTTCACTGATTAAGTAACTAACTATTCTTATATCGGGCTAGCTAATCACTGTCCCAAACTTTTAAAGCATACGTCTAGTACTACTATTTTATGCTGTTCGTTTAAAAGGGGTGTATCACGTAAAACAACATTTAAAGAAGGGAAAACCTTCATCCTATGTCCAAGAATTCTGTATATATATTTATAAAATACTCTAATAATAATAAATAATAATAACTACGAATATATAAAAAATTGTAATATAATTTAACTAAATTTCAAAAGAACCGCAATTAAGGTGCTCTAACTACCTAGCCATGGAAAACTAAGTTTTCCTTAACCTAAATCAAGTCTCTAAATGTTTATCGCAAAGTAAACGAGAATTAAGTAGTAAAAAGGACTCTTAGCTGCTGCACGCCAACTTCATCAAATAAATATTTTGGATGTAACAAAAGTCGCTTAAAAAAAACACAATTTTTTTTCAACTTTCTAGTAATGCTGTGCAAATAATCGATTACATTTAACACTGCAAATCAAGGTAATTTTGATAACTTAGATTTTTGAAAAAACTGTTTATTTCAAACTTTTTTATTAAATAGAAAATTTGAATTAACAGAGAGGTTAGCATTTTTAAGTCAAAACGTCACATAGTAAATATACTATTATAATCGTATACTCGAAAATTTACAAATATTTTAATTTTAATAAAAATACTTGGAAATAAGCCCAGTGCGGCTCCGTATAAGATTGTCTTACGACTTCTAAGTCAATGAATAACCCTACTTCTCTAAGTATGTTTACATAGTTCTTATATAACAATTGCTATATGGCAACTACTATCTAAGTTTAGATGTCTGGTTCTATACAAAAGTTTAAGTTGGTCTTCTAATAAACTAAATGTTATGCCCACTTTGTTTCCCATACCACAATTTTAATTTGTTCGCAAGCCATATACTAACTCCACTGATAAAAAAAAAACCAGTTCTTTATTCAATACCTTAAAGATAAGTTACTGGATAAGAAGACGGTGTCATTGTGCCCAACTAAAATTTAGCAGCTGTATTACCTTAATAAAGAGGGGTTAATAAAGTTTTTCTTTTTTTAGGTAATATTACTAATTATGTTAGTCAACTCTTAATAAGTTAATCTGTATATCAACTATCATGTTAATCTGCTTACAAACTGACAGCACTACTAAAATACAAGCTGTTTACAAAGTGGTAAGAATAGAAAAATTGTTGTTTTTTTTTTTAAACACAATTTTATCGTTGCCGTTGAAAGCAGTTAAACTTTATTCGTTGACTTTAAAATTATCATCCTAAATTTATTAGATAAATGCAATATTAATTTAGAAGCAAAGTTAGCCGACAATTTTTTTTAATCCGTACAAAAAATAAATTTGATTAAGCAAACGAAATGGCTGAAGCATCCAGAGTGTATAAGTCCACAATAACAGCAACTTTCGTTTTTGAAAAAGAAGGAACGGAAATTATTGTAACGTGCACTCCACCCTCATCAATAATTTCCTTAAAGTAGGCCAATAAGTAGAAATTAAGCATTAAATATTAACGATGTAAAAAGTATGAACTATTAATAGAAGTGAACATGCATTTTTCAGTACGACTACTACTTAAATATGTTTTGATTAGGTAAAAAACATATGCATACACAATATATTAAAACAAGATGTAGACGTCATAACTAAAACGATTAAATAACTTACAAAAAATTGTAATAATTCTTACGGTGGGAGGACACGAATTAAAGGTGAAACGGCACTAAATATTCTTAAGGAAACGCTATTTAAAATTTACCGTAACGGCAAGACCGCTACAAGACTTCTAAAAATAAGCTAGTTAGTGGCTTTTGTAGATAATTTTCATATACTTAAAACTTTTGTATCCGTACATGACGACACGCTAAGTTTCTTTACACAGCTTTTAAAACACTTAGGGTGAGTCTACATCATTCAATTAGTATCAAAAGGGAAAATCACGGCTAATACAAAGTCGGCCGACCCATGTTGAAAATTTCAATGACCCATTTAAACTTACTTTCTTAAATTCTGGCTGGTTTCCGGCGAAAAAGATGTGTGGAGTCCTCTCAATAATAAACGGGTCGAACATAGCGTAGGGATAGCAACCTGGTTTTATAAAAAGTTTAACTAAAAATAACGCAAGCGTGCCGCCTTGAGAGCAACCCAAAGTATCTGGAGATGTTGGGGCTAAATGCCGCCAGTAAAGCATCTGCTTTAAAATGCGCAAGCGGTCATTGGTGGGAATATACTTGTAAACATCATCGACGTTCTGGCCGGACGTGCCTAAAAATCTAATATAAATGTAATTGAGTTTTCAAAATATAGCAAAAAGTTTTAATATAACGCGTTATAACAAAATTATAAAAGTTCATTTATATATAAAAAGTTTTATAATAGATCTACGAAACTCTATGTTATCGATAACAGCGTTATAGGGATTTGTCACGCATTCCCAGCTGTTCGGAAAGTTTCCCATGGATGGAAAGAGACACCAGTGAAGACTTTGTTGGGGTAGAAGAACACTGGAAGGGTCATTTTCTCCAGGTAATAATGTTATGGGTATCCTAAATTAGTTACATATATATATCACTTTTAAACTATTTGAACTGACCAACTAATACTGAGAGAAAACCAAAAAGAGAACAAGATAAAAGATTTTTGTTTGATTTTTAAAATGTTTGGTAAAGTATACTTTTTCTAAAAAGGTTGCACGTTTTTTATATAAAGGACTCTCTACCCTAAATAAATACAATGCTTTAAGGTAGCGTTAGTCATGCCTTTTCTCAGAATAAATTAGTAAACAGTAAAGGCTCCTTCCAAGTAAATAGTAAACTGACGTCTCACACCACAACTAAAAAAGTAATAATTCCGAAACTTTATAATATTTTTTCTAACAAAAGAAATCCAGTACATTTCAAACACATATCAGGCATATGCGCTCATGTAATCTTTATTTTATATTTTTTAGTAATTAGATTTTATTTTTCCCGGCGTGAACAGTACAAAGTCTAATGCTCTGTAGTACTGCCGCAACACCGAGTCTTTAGTATTAAAAACCTCTAAAGAACAGCTCTCACAGTGCTTTTTTGCAAAACTTTTTTCTTTTGAATATATAATATAATTTACAACCCGAAATTACTTCTCTAGTTTTGCCGACGGCCCGTGCAATTAATAATATCATTAAAGAAACTTAATATAAAACAACCCGCTAGCCAGTTGTGCAAAAAAAGCATCTAAATTATTTAAGGGAGTCACGATTTCGTCTTTTAAAGATTCCTTTTTCTGGAAAATTAAAGAAAATTGGAATTATTTTTAATTTTATAAGGCATCTCTTACAGAACTTTGGACTATTTTTGCCGCCTCCACAGTGGCAGTTCGGCTTAATAAATTTCCGGCCACAATTAAACGGGCAATCTTTGAACTTTCTTTTTGTTGCTAAAAAATCAGAAAAAGTTAGTTAGAAAATTAAAAAAATTCAAGGAATAAGTAGTGAATTATAAAAATGATTTAAATATTAATAACTACACAAGCACAGGAAAAAAAGTGTTGTAAACGTGGATTTATATATATTAGCCCTCGTGATTTTTTTATAATAAAGCAAAAAAGCGGATAGTATACAAGGCACACGTAAACAGTATAAAAGTAGTTAGTGTATAAAATTTATATAAAAATTTCATTTAAAATAGATACTTTTTCGTCCCCGAGAAAACCAAGAAGATAATCGATCAATAATTGAAGGGAATTGTTATGACGATAATTAGCTTCCATTTCAATTCCAGAAATCAGACAAACTTTTTTCTCAGAGCCTTCGAATTACCAAAATTAGGGATATATAAAATCAAATTGGCATATATTAATTTTTATTAAATATTAAGGAAGTTAACTTATTAAAAATAAAAGTGATGTTAACGTGGCAAGTAAAAATATTAAGTTAATAATTTTTTAAAAAATGTTTTTCTTTTTTGTGTAAATTTAATATTAAGTTAAAATAAAAATAAAATATAAGAATTAATTTCAACTTGTTAACAAAGAAACTATACAGGTAGAGCTAAACAAGTAAAGTGTAAGAAAGTCTAACATTGTTAAAAGTAAAGATCAGCAGAGTTAAATTGTAAACTTATAAACTAAGTTGTGTTTAAGTGTTTTGATATAATTATATAGATAATAGTTTTAAGTCTTTACTAATAAATTATAACCTGCCAGACGGTTAAGAGGGGGCTTTACCTGTTCAGCCATCCCGGGAAAAGTATACTTTTCTACTTCAAAAGATTGGTTGACTTCTTTACCACAAACAATAATAACAATCCCTAAGAAAAATTTAAAAAAAATTAATTTGGCTTATATAAGATTATAATTATGCCAGCCTGTTAAAGCCGAATCATAAGGTAGACTTCCTGAAAGAGCAATCCTCCCGCTTTCATCTTCAAGATAAATTACATCTCCTTTACTAATATATTTGTCTCTTTTAGGTTGAACAACCAAAGCTCTCTACAAAAAATTACGAACTTAAATAAATAGAAGATAAAATTATTATTAATTACTCTTATTTTTATAATTTTATATTATTACAAACTGAGCAACTTCTGAGATAAAAGTTTTTTTATATTTTAAATTCGAGTTACGTAACTGTAGTACTTTACCTACTTTAAATTATTTTATTTTATAAATTTACTGTTCTAGTTTTTTTTAATAATTCTCTTACTTTAGTTGTACTAATTCACTACTAAAGAGACTCATATTAAGCTTTATTAAATACTAACTTAAAAATAAGTGAAAAGTTCATTGAAAAAGCTACAGTGATACGTGAAATTTCTTTTAAAAGAAAACTGAGTATAGTCGCTACATAACTTCAGCTATAAATTCGTCAATGGTGTTAGCCTTTAATAGGGTTTCTCTATACAAAGTGCCTGCTACGCAGCAGTACACGCCTTCCTGAATATGCAACAAACTTTCAAGAAAGGGTGGACAGTCTTTAATAAAATAAAATTTTATAGAGAAAAAGATCAATTACTAATTTAAATAAAAATGGATCATTCTTTATATATTCTTACCGGGCCACAGCTTCTTAGCTGTTAAACAAGAGGCTTTTTTTAGTTGTGTTAACCGCTGGTAATATAAACTTGCATATTGATGCTCAAAGTTTAAATTCTTAGGCAGTGTAAAAGTATCAATAACTTGGTAGTCAGTTTTAGTTCTTTGAAGTTGAAGGCCTGCTAAATTAAATGAGAACTATAGTAAATTACCGCAGTTATTAGAAAAGATATCCGTTGAAGGGGAGACTGACTAATCGTTTTAAGTAGCAAGTTATTGTTAAAAAAACTGTTAGAAGTAACAGCATAATAAAAAACAGAAATTGGGCCAAAAGTTAACATTATTATCAAAAAAATAAAATTTATTCTGGAAAACATTTTATAAAAAAACCGTAACTCCACTAAAATAGCTAAAAAATCCTAAAAATGATTTTAAAGAAAATATAACGCGCAGAAGATAAAAGAATTATTTAATAAATACTTTAATAACGTGAAATAACACAGTAGCACCTATAATACAATACAAAAGTGAAGGTTCAGCTACACTTGAATAACTTATTTAGTGCTTCCGTTTAGATATTATATAAAATTACTATAAAAATAGAACGGTCTAAACTTAAACGTTAATAAGGTTTCATAAATTTGTTAAAACTTAATGTCTTGTTAACGTTAATAGTAATAAACTAGAATAAGGAAAACCTTTTAAATCGACTAAACCTGAATCTTTAAGCGCAACAGAAACTTTACTGGTTTTCATCACATGTGGAAATATTAATATACTCTTATACTTTTAAAAGAGACCAAAAAGTAAATGAGCGACCAGCGCCACAGTTTAGTGTTATCGAAATATATTAGTAAAATGAGGAAGTAATTTGATACTCTAACCCAACTCCGTAAGCTTTTTACAAATAACAGAACTGTTTACGTAAGTCCCCCTTTTAAGCTGAAATAGAAAATTAATTGCTAAACACAAGGCAGGGGGAACAAAATGCCATGCCCACAGACCACCCCCCTGAGCTGGTGGCCAAGTTATAGCCACCATTGAAGAACTGACAACAAAACTAGATTATTCAAACAAAAAGATTTGCGAACTTGAAAGTAAAGTAATAACTCCGATTTTAACCCCTCGAAAAAACGAAAGGGCTGTTCTTTAGCTTTAGAAAATCCCAATTCTAATAAGTTTTTATTGCTCATGCCCGCAGATGAAGTTGAAGTCGCTATCATTAGTACTAAGAATGATATCACTACTAATAGTAAGAACTATAATAAAATTAGTGGCTGTAATAACAAATATAGTACCAGTAACGATAGTAGTAAGTATAAAATTAATAACAATTATAGTGAGGCCGTAGTCTTAACAATAACAGGTATACCACTACAATATGAGCAGTAACAGTAGTGGAAACGCTTCCAAAAATAATATCAAGGCGACCACCAGCGACAATACTAGTAACACATCCCCAAATATAAACATTCCTTTCATAGTTCTAAGTGAAAAGCTTAAATGACAGGATATAGTTTCCTTTGTATCAAACAGTAACATCAACAACTTCAACTCAAGGGATACCCGAAATGGCATTAAAGTTTTCCTCAAGCTCTGACGACTTTCGAAAAAAAACAAAGCTTCTTTAAGAAGTATACCTTCAGAATTGGACTGCGAGGAGATCAATGATCTACAACAAAATGGATTCCATCCGTTAAAAGTGGCTCGAATGAAAAGCTTTAGAGACGATAAGAAACCGCTTCCATCTGTTCTTATGCATCTACCGAGATCTGAAGTATCAATTTTTAAAGTTACTTCTGTTTGCCTTCTCAATCCTTGTGGAAAGCCTGAATAACAACACCAGGATTGATTGCCATCGCTGTCATCTTTTCGGCCATAACTCAAATTACTGCGCCCCAGCCCACAAATGCGTCAAATGTGGTGAAAATCAGGTAACTAAAGAGTGCACAAAAACACCGGAGACTCCACCAGTTGTCAGGGCCATACTGCTTATTAACTCCGTGAAAGCCCCAAGTAAATAACGAAATGAATCTCGGTATGAGCTGTCCTAACTCCGTAATTCTATGTGGGCGATCTGAATTGCAAAAATTCATTATCCTAATGGAGAAAAAAAATTCTCAAGTACGCCGAAGATAAGGGGTTAATGTTTTGGGCCCAGACAACCCAACACGCATTCCTAAGTGGTGTACTGCTGATGTACTATCGAAGTTAAACAGAAGATTTTAAATGAGCTTTCTCAGATCACCTACTCGTAGTCCTCGAAATAGGCTCCCCAGAAGTCGCCTTATTATGTAAATTCAAAAAAAAAACTTTTTTAGAATCTTCTAGACGAAAACTTAAAGGCGGCCCTTTAAGACCTAATCCGCCCGCACTTTTCACTGACTCAGTAGCTAACTTTGAAAGCACGATCATTCAATCATATCAAAAGTCCTTCCTCTACAAAACAAACATATTTAAAAACCACCTCTGCCGGTAAAAGTTGAAGTTCTTCTTCAATCCAGAAAACAGCAAAAGAAGAAGTTTTCGTTAACTCGACCCCCTGAATATAAACGATTACTAATCAACCTTGACAAAAAGGTCAAAAAAAACTTCCCAAGCTTCCCAACCGATACGGGAGAGTAAGCTTTCTAAATTAGGGAATAATAGCCCTCGTTCTTATTGGGAATTCATTAATTGGGTGAGGAACCGTCATAAACAGAACAGCTTCCTATAAAATCGTAAACTGGGTCTGTTTACGACGACATAGAGAGAGTCTCCTGTACCAACGCCCACCCTTAACAATTTCTTCAGATAGGACAACTACCCTCACACAACTCTTATTTTCCTCTTGTGAGGTGAGCAAGCACTGCTAAAGGATCACACAAAGTTCGAAGAGGTACAATCAATTATTAACAACTCAACTAAATAAGTCACCAAAACCTGATGGCATAACAAAACTCATGGAAAAAAACAACTGAGTCGATCATAAAAACTCTCACTCTTATAATTAATGCCACTCTTAATTTTTCAGTACTTCTAGATCGATGGAAAGTGGCCAATGTTATTTTCCTACCAAAATTAAAAAATCCTTTCTCAAACTCCGCGGACTATCGCCCAGTAAGCCTACTATCCTGTGCTAGCAAAATAGTAGAGGCAGTTATGCTCAGGCGATAACAGAAATATGTAGGACAAAATCGCATCACTTCTGGAAACCAATTTGGTTTCAGAAGGGCCATTTAACTACTCAGCAACTCTTGAGGGTTCACCGAGCACGTGATAAAGGGATTTAGCAACAACAAGTCCACGTATGCTGTTCTCTTAGGTATTGAAAAGGGCTTTTGAGAGAGTTTGGCAAAGCTGGTCTCATAACTAGAATGATCAGCCCAAGAATACCAGATTACCTCCTCCCTTATTAAATCATTTCTGCACCGCAAAAATTTTTTACAAAAATTGGAAAGGCTTCCTCAAGTTAAAAGGGACTCAGGGAAGGCGACCACTCTATCACAACTTTATTCGGCAAAGAAAAGGAAAGAAAACCCTACTACCCCACCAAGTTTTTTTAATCCTTTGGACAGGGTGTGTTTTCTTTCTATTTTTCCACAACACATAGACAGTTCTTCCCTACTCAGAGGGAAAACAAAAAGTTGTGAAAATAGGACGGGCAAAGGGGGTTTGTACAGATAATAATATTATATTTAATAATACTTACCTTGTAGAAAATCCAAACCCTAACCCTAAATTTCTTACCAAAGTCCCTTTGCCTACGAGAATACAAAAGGCTGAAAAGGATTTATATATTTAATAGTTTACCAATGTCTTTCTTTGACAATATAATAGAAAATCTAACTTTTCATAATCTTACTCCTTTAGGCACCTTACTTCCTCGTAACTTAATTAAAATTATTGGTCTCGGCCCTGATAAAATTGAGTTTTATTATAATTTACAAGATCTTTATAGACAGATCAGACTTTAGATTTTTTTTAATAACCAAACAAGTTTAACTTAATGAAAAGTTAAAATGTTTCGTTCCTAACGCTAATTTCGATCCTCCTAAATTTGATATTACTGAGATATTTTTAAAAACTATCGAAAACATACCATGTTATCTTAAAAAAAAAAAAGAAACTAAAAAGGCTAAACACCTTAAATTTTTTGTGACAGATAAAAATTAAGGGCCTACCATTATGACCAATTCCCAATATATTAATTGGGCCCACAACCATTTAAATTCGCCTGTTTACAAGCATTGGAAACAGATAAAAAAAAGTTATTAGTGTCTTTAAAAAGAAAATTACGTTATTTTATAACGGACTTCTTTTGAAACTAAATCATTAAAGGATAAAAACATCAAATTTTTTAAACAGTTATCCATGACTTAGATAAAAGGTCTCTCAGTTATTTTTATGCCATGCCTAAACTTTATAAATTAGGGCGTGAAAGAACTAATCCATCCCTGACCTTTAGTTGCCTATCATAATAAACCTATGGTAGGTTTAGCTAAATGGTTGCCTTTTAAGTTATGTCCATTAGTTCTAAAAATACCATCCTTTATAAAAAAATTCTGGGAAGATTTTACCTTTACTATAAGGTAAACTTAGAAAGTACTATCCTATGTTCACTAGATATAGAATCGATTTATACAACTGTCCCAATAGAAAATTTATGATTTCTGTGGAATACTTTTTTCTAAAATACTCTTCAGACCGTGAAAATTTCATTTGTACATACTATGAAGTCAATATATCTTTTGTTATACAGTGTCTTTTTACTTAATGATATTTTATACCAACAACTAAACGGGATTCCTATGGATAATCCTGCTGCTCCAGATTTGGCTACTTATATTTGGCGTATTAAGCTTTAGAGTTTCATAAATCCTCTCCTTATATAAAGTTATATAAAAGATACATGGATGATACATTGCCCATATGGATAAAAAATGACAAAGTTCAACTTTCGGACTTTATCAACCCTATGTCACAATGTACTAAGCTAAACTGGACTTTGGAGTTAACCAGAACAATTCTATTTCCTTTCTATATTTATTTATTTGGAAAGACAATAATTGAATTGTTCATAAAACTAATGAAAAGGGACTCGACTTATAACTCTAACAGTACACATCCCCCTAGCACCATAAATAGACTTATTGCGACTTAACTCGCAGGAATTCGATCAGAGGTTTCATTTCCGTAAACAAGTCGCAGTTGTTTTTAATGGACAAAATAATATTCGTTGTTTGGATCTTGTCCCCAATTTGCAACCGTTTCTGACTTATTTCGAGTATAACAGGAGATAGTTAGTGAAGACTAGTACCCACTCGTTAAGGATATTCTATTTAGCGTCCTGTGATTATACTCAAAAGTTCATATATTTATATATATTACTTTTTTACCAAACCTAACTCTGAAATTTTTAATTATTATGAAATCCTTATATATGAACACTGAATTTAGGGTATTTGATGGTTACATTAGTAATCCCCTTGAGGTACATATTAACTTGTATACAATAATGTATACTAAAAATGTATATGCTTTAATAAAAACATAGAAAGGCTTACCAAAAACTCATTAATTTAAAAGCTAATAATAATAGTTTTCCATACACTATCATCCCTAAGCAAAACTTAATTTATAAGGCTAAACTTAGAGAAAAGATAGGGGTGAGTATTAAAAAAGCTGAGCTCAAGTTTGACTGTCAAACAGCAATATTGAAGTCTTGTAGAGACCGCAGCATAGAGATTAATAACGCAGCTATTAATCTTTACCAAAATAAAG